TGTTAGGTTATTTTCCAGTTTAATAAAAACAAATTTTATGAGTAATCTACAACAGCAGCTAATTCAAAAGGTCCAGAGCTAGAGACATTCTACAGTTAGCTCACTTTCTATTTCCCACATGAACATACTACCTTTTCCAACAGACTTTGCTGAGTTCCTGATAGGGCACTAACAAATGCTTCAAGGGCACGAAGGAAGTCCTGCTTAATATTGGGAACTTGTTGAGGTTCAACCCAGCCACTGTCCATAGTCTGTAAGGCTGGAATGAATATTTCTGATATCAACTGCTCAACACTTTTTAATAAGCCATCTCGACCTATATCCAGCATATTAAAATTTACTTCCTGTAAAAGAGACACAATAGAAGGGGTCTTTCACCAGTAAAAACTTCATTATATACATATACATATATTTACATATACACTCTCAAAAGTAAAATAATTTTTTGTTTTTCAAATGAATTTGCTAGATTTTTTTTTTAATTTAGCACCTTAGTATTTAGGTATTGATTAATTACTCTGCCATTACGGATTGTCTTAAATTTTCTTCCTCAGTATCATTTTTCATATCAATGATATGCATCAAGTTGCTCCCACAAGATAATATCTGTATTTCCATTTCCATCCCTTTTTGTCCTGTTTCATTTAATCCATCAGTGTCCTTTTACTCATTCCCCCATGTTAAGAGCTGTCTAATTATATGCAGAGAGCAAATACCGCATGGTAAAAACAAATTTTAAACAACATTATGTACAGAGAGGAGTAGCCACTGACTTACTTGATAAATATTCTCAGTTGTGACTGGTTTAGAAAAACTAGATCTAATGAAGAAAATGCATACACCAGTTAAAGCAACTTCTTTTCCCTCTGTTACAAATACTTTCAGTTTCTTCTTCTTGGTCAAATGAGAGTTCAGTCCTATTCCTGGAATGCCAAAGTACTCTACAGATTCAAACAAATAAACAATTAAGACCCATTGATCATTTATTCAAAGAAAAGTTCTCTACACAAACAGTTCAGTCATTATTTGTGCCTCTCTGAGTCCCAGTCTCCTGGAGGCATCTCACTGAAC